CCCATATGACATAGTGGATCGTCTCTCAGACGTGACTTTCCGGGTAAAATGTGGTCAGTGAGGTAAGCCAAAAGTGGTGCATGCCAACAGGCGTTATCACAGTCCACGACATTTCAGTTGGGATGAAGTGGACAACAGAACAAATGACGCTGCTGAAGACGTGCCACCTGAAGATGCCACCGTTGAAGAAGAAACTCTACTCAGTTTTGAGAAGGGAAACGTTGAAGCTCTTGATGAAGTTACTACCACTGATGTGACTGTTGTCGATGATAGAACATTTCCTGATGAAGCAGATGAACCCCATATGAAGCAGAAGCCAACGAGACGGAGACCTGTATGGAAGAAGATACATCCCGTAAAATTATGAGACTGTTGAATTGTAATTTTGTATTTGTAATTCTGTACATTTAATTAAGTTATTGTTATTGGTTTTAATGCAAGTCGCTATTGTTCGGGACAAACAATACTAAAAAGGGGCAGTGTTGCGTCAGCGAGGTCACGTGACTAGTATCACGACACGTCCTCGAAGCTTCGTGAATTATCGGGAGACTACTAGATTGGGGGTAGTCTGGTATATATAAGATGGTCACAACGTGACGGAACAATGAGTAATTGATCTGCAGTCAGAGTGTGTGTAATTGAACTGAGTATTGTTGAAGTTGAGCACGTGAGACGTTCGTTGTTATAGCGTTTGTTATAGCACGACTGTTGAAATTAAGTGTATCGCAAAGTTATAATCAGAAAGAATAAACCAGTTTTATTTAAGAAAGGACTTGTGTCGCTAAAGTTTCGTCGGTACGAAATTACGGAAAATTAACTAACGAACGGAGACGTAACAATATGTACAAATCTTTTGGTTTTTCTAATTTACATATCCTCATAAACATTGCATTTAAGTTGATAAACTAACTTGGCTGATGATGTTCTGGAAATGATCTGATATGGTTTGTGATAAAACTGTCATGGACTGGTATTTCAGAATTCATCCATCTCATATTTAGATCAAGGGTCTAAATTTAATTAATTAATTACAATTAACCTTTTTGAATTACGATATCATCCATAGAACATCAGACAACCTCACTCTCATAGCCAAACTAAATTTCTGAAGTTCAGACAATAGGAGATAGCTCACCTGGCTTGTATTTTATAAATTGTTTCTTCGGTAACCTGGCCAGATGGTTAGGGCACTCGACTCACAATCTGCTGGTTCGAATCTCAGTCACACCAAACATGCTCGCTCTTTCAGCTGTGGGGGGCGTTATAATGTGATAGTCAATCCCACTATTCGAGTAGCCCAAGAGTTGGCGGTGTGTGGTAATGACTAGCTGCCTTACCTCTAGTCTTACACTGCTAAATTAGGAACGGATAACACAGATAGAAGAATCCATTCACGTTTTTTTTTTCTTATTCTTTGTGTGTAAAGATTTAAAGATAAGAATGGTCGAATTGACATGACGAAAAAGTGAAGAAAGGTGGGTTATTTGTTGTTGTTTTCTCTTTTTAACTTAGAAAGGTGAACAAAGTAATTCAGAAAATATTATGTAAAATTTTCACACACGTGTATTCATTCGGGCACATGTTAAACTTTTACAGCTCAACATATATAATAATAGGATATGTAATGTAACGACTTTATTGCTTGTGTTAGTCACATACTTTCATGGTACTTCTCAGTTCTCTCATGGAAGGTGTCATTGGAGAACTAATTTGATTTAATGCTATTTGTGCTTTAGTTATATTGTTTGTGTACAGGTTCAGGAACACCTGGAGATTATGTTCTCCCTATTTTTGATTATGGAATGACAAGTATAAGTAGAGTTTTCTGGCATCTTTGTGCAATCATCATATCTGTAAGTTAATGGTGCACGACCTGTTTCCCACATACAAGTATCTTGCAACTTAAAATGTTTCAAATATATAGTTTTTTTTTCAAATTTATAATTTTTGGCTCATGACTGGTAAAGTGAGAATGTAATGCTCGAGGGTATTTGAAGGCCACGTGTTGCCTGAAGATTAGTTTACGTTCTCATACAGCATTTAAGTTGATTTCATTTGAACACAAATAGTTACTATTTTCACCTTGTGCTATTTTGTCTTTATTCAACTTACTCAGGTGAAAACTTGATTTTACAAGTTTGTTTGAAGTTCAGCACAAAGCTACACAATGGGCTATCTGTGCTCTGCCCACCACGGGTATCGAAACCCGGTTTCTAGCGTTGTAAGTCCGAAGACATACCGCTGTGCCACTGGGGGGCAACTTGATTTTAATGGCATGATACATTATCTACTATTCCCCTAGTTATTAAAGATATTTTTCTTACCTGAAGGCTATCAGTATACCTAAAAACATTGGTGCCCACGATTGAGGACATGGAAGAACAACTCTTTCATGAGGTGCAAGGAAAAACTTATTTTTTCGTTTTATTAACACCACTTGTTTGAGAAATATGGTGTATTTTTCCTTTATTTCTTCAATGCTTTATTAAATATTTGTCTCAAGGCTATTATCTCTAACTATACCTTGGGGTGCTGAGCACAATTTGCTAAAAGTATGGGGAGGGATGAGCACCAATGCCTGAGAATATCGCATAGTTACACTTAAATAAATATCTTAGGTACGTATTTGTTAAATCTTGCGCAAAGCTACTCAACGACTATCTACACTAGTCGTCACTAACATTGGAATGATTAGATCAGAAGGAAGGCAGCTAGTTAACACCACCTATCGCCAACTCTTGGGCAATATTGCTAGTTTACCAACGAATAGTGGAATTAACTATCACATTATAATACCCCTACGAAAGAAAGGGTGAGAATGGTCTGTCATTTCATTTGTTTGTTTTAAAGCAGAGTTACGCAATAGGCTATCTGGGTTCTGTTCATCACGGGAAATCGAACCACAGATTTTAGCGTTGTAAGATCGTAAATTTAGGAGTGATCCACTGAGGAATGTGGAGGATATCAAACCTGCAGAATGCGGGTCGAGCAACATCAGTTATGTAATAATCAGTTGATGCCAAAACGATTTAAGAGTAAAAATGACACATCTCTACCATCGTGGAATGTTTTTACATTTAAATTATCCAGCAATTCCAAGAGATAGAGAAATAACCTTTCAAAGATCGAATTGACATGTTGTTGCCAACTAACAACTTAAGTGTAATTTTTTTTAAATCTAAAAGTGAATAAAATATTTATTCAGATTTTCTTGCAGAAAAATATTCTAATTTATTTATGCTAAAGCAGGTATACAATCGTTTACTATAGTATTTTGCACTTATTTAAATCATATTTTCTTTCTGTGCAACCTAGAAAGCTGCAAATTACTAAAAAAAATTTAAAGATAAAAAATGTCACTTGTGCTTTTATCTACACTTTACCGAGAGCTCCAAACACTAAGGAAACACATCTAGCTGTGAATCTAAGTAAAAATAATGAATGGATAACATACTTGTAGCTAGACATAGCGGAGACTTACAGAACCGTAACGTTCCAAGTTACCAGTTTTCCCTGACAATAATAATAAAAGAATAAAAATTTGATTTGAATTCGTTAAACTTATTTTTTAGTACTTTTCAAATATACTATAAACTATTTACCTAGTTATTGAAAAGTGTAGTTATTTCATACACGGTAAAACCTCTTATCTGATAAATCGATTTTACATTTCAGAATATAAAAATTATAAGCATGCATCCTTTGTATAAAACTCATACAATTCAGCGTAATACAGTTTTGTTGAAAGAAGAAAGTACTTAAAACATAAACATAGAATGTAAAAATTCATGGCTATGAGGTTTTCATTTAGTTGAAAACCTTGAACTGATTAGGAAAATCCGGTTATCTTATCATGATGAAAAGTTTGTAAAGACATTCATATAATGCATGGTATATGTGTTAAATTTCCTGGAAAACAGTCACACTTGGCAAAGCTAATTTCAATAATAATTTATGCAAAAAGAAAAAATCCAGCAGCCAGTAAAACAACTTAATTTAATATATCGTTTATTAGTCACGGCTGTCACTTGTCTACAGTTCAGCCATTTTCACATTAAAAGTCCAGTTAAAACAAATGTCGACTGGCTACGGATAAAAACGGAAAATACGTTGCTAGAATGGCAAATATTTTTTTGCAAGTAATAGAAATAATTATCCTTCCGATATTACAAAATGACCTAAATCATTATTGACTAAAACCTTGTTAACAATTAAGAAGAACTCATCATATACATGATAGGATGATGTGGATAATATAATTTCGCCATCATAATATTTTACAATAAAAGTGTAAGGAAAGCGTATTCAAATGTTTGTTCGTAAATAACTTTTTATTGATACGTTTTTAGTAAGTCTACATATGTATATACACCGGCCTAATATAATCATACAACAATATAGTAAAAATAAAATATATAGTATTCACAACCAATACTACAGCATAATTTCAAAACATATTTTGTATAAATAAAAGATCATACTACATATACATAGAATAGCTGTGTTCTATGTATATACATTTCAAAACAAATAGGGTGATAGCATTATATATCTTCAAATAAATATTTAAATATAAATATATTGCACGTGAGCATCACCTAGCAGCCTGTCTTACATACAAAAGAAAAGTCAGTTGTAGCTATAAACAATTCAAATGAATATTATAATACATTTAAACAAATTGGAAAATGCCGATAAAACGTTTAAACATTTATCACTCTTTTAAAAAAAAAGTACTTTATTGTTTGCATACACATCATGGCAAGGATAAAAACAACAACAACAAAAGGAAACCTGAGTTTTGGGGACTAGATATGCAACAGTGATAACTGATAGTTTTTTCCTTATAAAAACTAATGTTCAATCTGATTTTAAGTTAAATAGCATATATATTTAAACACTGAACAAAATATCTGAACAAGCCAAAACCAACCTTCACATCATATTTAGTCACTACCTGTACTTTATATTACGAATTAACATATTTCAAAAAGACTGCATGATATATCATATTTGGTGGTGAAATATCTTGAAAACTTCCCAAAACACAGTTTTCTGTGCTTAATTTCAAATTACAGCAAAAGCTACCAGATTTAACGAATTTACATATAACAATCACAATGAAAAGCTTGGTTCTAACAAAAACTAGGAGCAAAATTACCAGTTGATATAGCTAGATTTATCTTTTGTGAAAGCACTTTACAGCCAACACTGACTGTATCATATGATTTTATGTTCTAAGCTATATATAAAACATATATACTTAAGTTTCTAAAAATTACACTCACTGATTCATGGCTTCCTTAATTTTTTCCACAATACAAGTACACAGTTTAGGATCATAGATGTGAAGGAACTTGATTGTCTGTCCACTTCCACCTAAACCTCCTAATTTCTTCATAGGCTCCTTCAACACAAACTTGATTCCCCTTTCTGTTACCTGTGGAGTTTCCATGAGGTCATTCCAGGTGATCTGCCAATCCATAATCCACTGACCAAAGATATCCCCATGGTATATAAACATTACTCTTCTATTTGTTAGTAGTAAATGGTTTTTGCCATCACTGCTAACTGGAAAGTGGGCCATGTATTCATCTGTTGTAGCAAAACATCCTTTTCTAACTTCCTGTAAAATTTCATTTCCTTCAGCTTCAGTGACATTGTATGGTTTAATGACTGTATCTGGATGAATGTAGCGAGGATACCTTACTCGTTTAATTTCATCAGAAAGTTCAGTTACTTTCACTACAGCCTCCAGGCCTGAACTAGCTAAATCAACAACACCAGATGTTGGACGAGCAACAATACCAATCAGACCTTTCCCAACACCCTTGAAAAAGCCTCCAAAACCCTCTTCTTTGGCTCCCTCTATTGGTTTCATTACAACACCAGTGACTCCTTCAAAGACTCCCATGACAAAGCCTTTTCCACTCTGAGCTAAGCCTTGTCTCACAGCTCCAGGCTGTCTGTTCCTCTGCTGTCGTCTTTTCTTTTGGTACTCTTGGTCCATTGTGAGAGCTGCCACACCTTTACCTAGAGTGCCAGTGATACGAGAAACAGCACCAGCTGCTCCACCAACAGCATGTCTTAACAAGCTTTTAACACCAATAGCTAGTCCTTCTACAAACTCTTCAGGGCCCTGTACTGCTCCTTGAAATGGTTCATAAAATAAATCACCAACTCCCTCACCCATTTCAAGCAAAAGTCCAACAGGATTACCAATAACATCAAGGCCAAGTACAAACATGTAAAGTTGCTTAAGAGCCTGTCTTTTGTAGTGTATGATTGCATCTGATAAAATCTGTCTATGAGAAAGGAAAACATTCTGCTTCTCAAAGTAGTTTAGTTTAAATATCACATCTTGTATTTCAGTTACTGTGATTCCAACACTTTGAAAGAGAAGATTGATGAGTTCAGAATGAATAGGATTTGGTTGATTAAGATAATGTCCACCTCCTGTTATGGAGAAACTTAAATGAACTTTAATTGGTGAGAAATGAAGAATGTCATAGAAATTCTTCTGATCATGGAAAGAGTATATTGTTACAAATGCCTTCAAGTTATATTTCAGTATTTCTTTGTCTTTCTTCAGAAGCTCTGCATAATTTTTATAACCCTTTTCTCCTGAAGAAAAGAAAGCAAGCAAAGAATTTAAAAAGCTCTGGTCTACTTTCACATGAAACTCCTGTACCAATAATTTAAAGTACTTGAATTGATTAAGTAAACTGTGTTCTGCTTTCCTCATCATGATGCTGACCTCAGTAAAAGGTTTAGGAATACTGTCAGAAGTAACAGACTTTGGAGGTGGTACTGGAGCAAGAACCACTGGAAAGACACAATCTGTCAATTGATTATCAATTTGTAATTTGTTTATTTTTGCATGCAGCTGTGTGAGATGAGCAGATGAGCTGTACTGAACCCAAACACCTACTTGAAAAGTCCTCCGAATGTGCCTTTTGTTAGGTTTATACATTAACATCTCACTGAAGTCAATTTCAATTTTCTCATCTAGAAATTTCCTGGAATTTGTCAGTTTCCCTAATTTAGTTTCATTCAAGTATTTCTGGTATCCAGTTTCTAATAGCATATTTTCTTGTACACTTACAGGTTTGAAACTTAAACTTTTAAGCTTGCACTGTTCCCACATCACTCCTGAATTAGCAAAGCTAACATACATAATCTCAGATCTACTCTCACTGTCTACAAAAGAGATTCCAACACCTAAGAGAGAAACAGTTATTTCTTGCTCATGTTGCTCTAGCTCACCAGCTACTTGAGCAGCAGTTACTAATGCAACATCTTCTGTAAACAATATAGTTCGTTGAAATCCATCCAAAAAAGACACCCAATACATTTTTGTGTCTTTGTCGGCAAAAAACTCACCAATTCCATCTTGGATCAGATTGTTTTCATAAAGTTTCTGTCCACAAGACCAGGCCAATTTTTTTTCACCCATTGGATCTTCCCATGTGTAGAGAATACAGTGTTGTGGTTCCAGCTGTTGTTTCTCCTTTTTACCACACTGAGAGTACTTCACAGTAAAACTGTCTGTGTGGTTAACAAGTCGAACTTGAGCTGACCCTTCATAGTAATCACAGAAGTTTAATACAGTTGAAGATTCTCTATATTGGCAATCCACATAAATTGCTCCTTTAATACCAGCCAATCTTAAGAGATGTGAATGTGGTTCTTTGAATGAAAAAGGTGCACTCTGATCTTTAAAACCATCATATTTTACTACCACTCCTGATTTTTTGGTTTGATCGGGCCAAAATGGAACACACTCACCAGCAGGGACAGTAAGCCACTGTGCTGATTCTAGGTCCTCTTTAATTTGAATATTACACTTGCTCTTATTGGTTAACAGATAAAATGGTGTGAACACAACAATTTTGGTCAAGCTAGATTGGCTAAGCATAATTTGTACACTGACACAGTATATTTTACCATTTTTTACCCTAGCAGCAACTGAGCCACAATTTCCCACAGCATCCACTGAAAATTCATTTGACCACTCTGAATCCTCCACTTTTATAGAAACTTTGCTTTTAGAAAAAAAGTTTTTGGTTCTGAATGAAAATAATACAGGGATGTTTAAATTTCCAGGATGGCTAGTATCGTTATGTTTCTCTCCTTTGTATGCCAGGAAAAGATTTGTTTTGTTTATCATCCAAAAGGGGCAGTATATTTCCATATCTAAATAACCCTCACACTTTCTAGTATGCATACCTAGGTCTAAAGTCAGTTCTTTATCTAAAACTGTTGATGAAAATGTCCAAACAGACAATTCAGTTACAGCAGGATTCAATTCTTTAGTGCATACCCAGATTTGATCTAGATAATTTGGCAACTTTATCTGTAAATAAGTCTTGCCAGGGTAAGCAAATGTAAGATCATGAGTGCTGCCTTCATCCAAGATATACTCTTCCTTCATTCCTTGTATAGTATAAGTGACAATAAGAGGAAGCAAGTTTCTCAGTGATGCAGTTGGTCGTAAATGTAACATGTAACAAGTGCTCATTACAGTCCTTTTCATAGATTCTTCATAAAGAATTTGTTCAACTTCTCCAAATAATTTGAAAAAAAAGTTGCTTTCCACATCACCATAACCAGTGCATTCAAGAGTTTTGAATGTATTTGGCTCATTTATTAGATCCTTCCAAACAAATGGCTCTGCACATATGGTATTTGAGCCTTTGGTAGGCTTAAAGAAAAGTTCACTAGTGAGAGAGTATATTCCATGTAATGGAACAAAACACATCTTTTTAGGTTCTACAAGTCCACAAATTTGCAGTTCATTTCCACTTGGCTTCTTGTAATATAATTCAAATGACACTGACAAATGATTATACAAGGTGATGCAGCCATGAAAAGTAACTATTTTTGAACCATGTAATAGAGACACATCCACAACAAAAGCCCACAGATCATCTGTGTAAGTTTTAATAGGTAGTTGATAGTACCGCTTACCAACCTGAGAAATATTGAGTTTTCGAACAGAATTTACCTGATGAGTCACAATTTTCAAGCAAAGTATTTCTTCTACTTTTACATTCTGCTGGTTTAGAATAGATATATTACTTTCTGATTCTTTAGTGGAAGAGCATTTTAAATAAAGAGTGTTACCAGACTCCAACAATACCTCTTTGAAACTAGACTGATTTTGTCCAACTACTTGTGAAGTATCATTGGGCAGTATTACATGCACTGGAAGACCCAAGTGGTTTTTTATAACATACGATACTTCTGTCTGTGTGTGTTTGAATTTGTGAGTATTTTTAACTACCTCACCAAAAGCCTGGATAAGGTTATTTAAACCCTCTAAAGCAATCTTACTGACTGTCAACTCCATTACATCACTAGAAAATATAACAATGCTCATAACTGGAGGGAAAAAAGAAACCTCATACGATTCTCCATTTTCAGCAGGTGCTTCTGGTAATTCAGGGTTCTTGGTCACTTCCACAACTAGCTCCCATGGTTTTGATTTCCCAGTTGACTGTTCAATTGGTTCAAGAAGTGGTTCCCACAAAGCCAATTTTTCATTATAGTAAGCAATTTCTATCAAGAAAAATGACTCAACATGAAGACTTGAGCTCCAGTTTTGTATCTCAGCCTGGAAAGCAGCTTCCATCAAAATCATAGGAACTGTCTGTTTCCCTCTACCTATTTCAACTGTTAATATAATAGTTTTCATAGTCAACATCAGTAGCTCTGAATCAGCTTCTGCTTGTACACTATCTTCAGCAGGCAATGTAGCATCATTTATTAAAGCTTCTTCAGCAAAGACTACAGTTTCTAAAAACCAAAAAGAGCATTCTTCAAGTTTCTTTGGCAACCATAACTCAGAATAATTTTCACAACACTTTTCTTCTTCAATCTTTTTTGAGCTTTGCTGATGTAACAAACCAGATAATATTTTTGTCATTATATGTGTAGTGTTTGGTGATATATTCAAACAAATTCTGGTGAATTCAATATTTATATGCTGACTTCTCATTTTGGGTGAATTAGAGCAAATAATGATATCACAGGGTCTTAGAATTTCTGAGATTGTCTTTTCCCTTAATTCTGGGTTAAAACAAGCTGTAAAAAGCTGAAATTTAGAAATCAATCCATTGACTAACTGAGCATCTGGTGACACTGACACTTTGGCATTCATTTGAAAGTTCAAGATTACAGCATTAGAATTATAGTCTTCCATGTCTTCCATGAGAACTAAATCTGGCTGTTTAATATCAAGGGTTATAGTTATACATGCTCTGGAATCAGTGTCAGCATGGTTTGAAACTGTCTTGGGCTTCAAAGTAATAGTAGACTGTGGTGAAATTATTTTATCTGGCATAGCCTTAGAAAAAAAATCTCTCAGTGTCATTAAATACAATAAGTTAAGAATGAGACTGAAACTTGAAATTTTAACATCCAGAAATCTTTCTTGGCTTGAATATTGTATGAAAATAATATCAATCATATTTTGATTATCATTACTAGCTACACTGCTGCATTCCATTAGTCTGGTGATTCCTTTTTTCCTAACAACCCGTATGTCATCTAAAATGCAGTTCTTAAGAATAATATTAGCCCAAAGAAAACCATCACTAAGGACTTCTCCCTTTATAGCTATGGTCAAAAATTCAAGCTCAGCCAGTGCACATTCTGGTTTTCTTTTTGACATATCTGAAGACATATTGGAATTTCCCTCAAAAAGAGAGACTTTAAAACTGTCCAACTGAAAAGTAAATGTTGCTTTTTTAAAAACAAGTTCTATGAATTCAGTATTCTTTGTTTCCTCCTTTACAAGTTTTTTTACAATTACCTTTTCAGCTGTGGTAGCTCTTGCAATAAATTCTGGTGATGAGCTGCTTTGATGTACAGCATCAAAATTTTCAAGTAGCACCTTCATAATAATAGAAAAATCTCCTTGGTTTAAAGTCATTTCCATACCATCAAGTTTACCTTTAACCACTATTTCTGGAATGTTATTATAACACCCTATAGATAGGTTACGAATTACTTCCAAAGTCATGTTGATTGGTTTTAATAGCATGGACTCTGACAAAATATTTGCAGATGCAGTGTGAACAACTGCAGATGAAAATTTTAAGTCAAAGAGTTCTAAAGACAAGTTGTCAAATATTGTTGGAGTTCCACAATCACTAGGATCATTTACCACTTTAAAATAATTGTGTAACTTCAGTGTTCCTAAATCTGCAACAACAGCAATATCAGAACTAACATTCTGTGGAATTATAATAAGTGGAGCCTTCAGAAATATATCTAAAGAAACTTTTGTTGCTTTTTGATATGCTTCTTCCATGCCATGTAGAGCCATCTCCACTGCCACTATGCTTGCTTCTGTTAATTTCTTCTTGGCTGTTTCAAATTCACTGATGAAATTCAGTATCTTATAAGCATAAAAATATAAAAAGACTACTTTCACTGCACCAAGAAATACTTTCAGTTCCATATCTACAGATGTTATGTCCAAGTACTTTTCTTCTTTTGATTTATTTAAAACAATTTCCACTCTCAGCACTTCTTCACTGACAGTAGACAAAATTTTTGAATATAAAATATTTGGTATAGAGTTAGTCACCAAAATTTCTTTCAAACAACAAGCTAATACTGTTTTTGATTTCAAAAGTTTCACTTCACCATCCATTTCTCTGATTTGCATACTCATGATGTTCATATTACTTGTACAAAGTGAAATGCAAAGGGAAGAAAGTTCAACACTGGCTATGGTGTCAATAATGTTATCATCTTTATACTTTCTTTTTGAATGCTTCTTTTCATTTGATATTTGAGCAAGTTGATGTTTTAACTCATTTACAGCAGTCCTACTTACTGCTGATTTTTGTGGTTGCTCCTTATGTGATGTCAAATTAGAGGCAAACTTAATTAGAGATAACAAGGCTTCCTGGTGCAACATTATATCCAAATGTGCAAACCTGACAAAAACCTTTTGAAAAGTGGATTCATAGTGTGTAACAAACTTAGGTCCTTTCTTATCAGCCTGCAAAATATTTAATGTAAAGAAGTTTTCTGATGTACTGGATGTGAAAGGAGTATTCAACAGGTAAAGTACCTGTTTATCTGGTGTTAAATATTCCTTGTGCTCTAGATAAATTCCACCAAGAAAAATATCTGCACTCATATCGAAAGTGTGTATGCATACATAAGTACCAAGTCTGTGAAGTTCAAGTCCCATAATTTGTTTTTCTATTCCATCTACTTGATGAGAGAGGCTAATTGATATTCTCTTTATCTCTAGATTTAGCTGAAGTTTTGTAAGCTCACTAGCTTCATTTTCTTTAGTCCCATATGTACATTGTTTATCTTCCCTAGCATTGTCATAATTTACTAATGTTTCTAATTGAATGACTTCTTTTAGAGGTTTTGCTTGAACCTGCCTGATATCAGTTGTAACAGCAGAACTTAATGTTTCTTTTCTTTCTGGATTGTAATATGGTTGGCCTTCTGGAAATGGGATACTTTGAATAATGTTCATTAAGTTTTGCAGTTTCAAGTCAGAAAAAGCTAGATTCAAAAGTGGTAATTCTCCATAAATTTTTATTTTGGGCATTTGACTGTCATTTGTAAAAATGGCTTTCATGAGGCTAACATCCACAGTGACAGGGTACAATAAATTAGTTGTTGACATTTCCTCTTCAGTATGTTTTCTCCAATCATTTCCAGCTTTTGTAAGCAATAAAACAAGGTTTTGTAAATGGATATGAAATTTATTATATCCTTCAGTCATCACTGTTTCATTTTCTTCTTTCTTTGCTTCTTCTTTTTTAACAAACTTTTTTTGTGATAGTGAACTTTTTGTTTCTCTTTGAACTGACTGCATTTGAAAATTTCCAAGGTTTATCACCAGTACATTTTGACTTTTTTTTAAATCACCATATTCTGGAATAACAATATATGAAGGTTTGATGTCAATATTGAGATCCAAAGTTTTGTGTTGGTCAAAAACATCTTCTAAGCCAAGTGATGTTCGATACTTGAATTCTTCCAGCTTCTTTGTAGCATCAGCCTGCAACTGATAAGTCTGTAATGTGTGTGGTAACTTAAACATTTCATTTAAGTTGTTAACAGTGAGAGCATCAAAAATTATTTCCAGTGGCATTGTTAATACATTTATTTTTTGATCACATAGCTGATCTAATGGATTTGTTTCAACCAAAATTTGAAGTACTGTACTTTTTTCTGGTGCACTTAAATTTTCAAGTTTGATTACCTGTGGTCTTTTTTCATCTGATGATAAGGATCCAAACATAGTAAAATCTCGCACTTGCATATCCAGTTTGATTGCTTCTGCAGCCGGTCTGTGCTCAATCAAACTTGAAATACCCTTTGAATCAACCATCATTATTTCTATAACTTTTGTATCATCTATAATTGAGATGACAAATTTATTTAACTCAAAAATCACTTTGTTTGCAATGAATTCTCTTGGATATTCTACTGGGAGAGCATTTTCTTGATAACCAATAGCTTTATACAGTTTTTCTTTCTCTGACTCTGTCATAGCTTCATTAAGTTTCTTAACAATATCACCTCTAACATTACTGTTTGTTTTTTTAGTTTTTAGGCTGTCACAAAACAAGCTGCTAAACCGTCTACCTGAATGTGATGCTTTGCTTTTTAATTTGTGGGAAACGTCTACTTCTGCTTTCCTCCGCATGAGAGTTATGTTAAAAACATCCAGTTTATTTTCACAGTCATCAATTTGTTGCCGAATATTCTGGGAAAGTTTCTTAGATAACAATTTTTCCTTGTACAGATCTTTATACTTGCAACAAGTCTGTCGATGCTGCTGCATATGTATCCATGACCAATTTCTCCGTTTTCTTTGAATATCTTCAAGAACACATTTAAATGCAAATTCCCACCACAGTTTTGCATTTCCTTTGTATGGCTTATCTGGTCTGTGTTTTCTATAAATGGATGCAATTGACATTCGATCCAATGCTTCTATGAGATGTACAATGTCTTGATATTGTGATTTGCTCATTTCGATAAAAACATGATCAACTATGATGTTCAACCAAACTTTTGGAATGGAAAAATTGGATCCATCAGCTTCTGGTTTGGGATTCAACACTATTCTTGCACTAAGAGTTACTGGCTTAAGCAAAAAAGAATGATTTATTGGCTTATGGTTTTTAGAAGCAATGGCTTGTAGCATTGCCCTTCTCCTATTATCAGAGTCCATCTTGCTGAAGAGTTTTGAACTACTATTCCAATATATACCTAAACTATCGATATTTACAAGTTTATTAAATATTTTTACAGTTTCTTTGACTATGCATGGTTTCCAGCTCTCATCTGTAGTTTCAAACAATAAGTTATGAAGTGTTATTCCAGCAGCAAAGGGAGAATTTGAATTGATGAATTCATCTTCATATCGAATGTGAACATTTTTAACCTTCACCTGCAAATTACGAATTATCTGGGTAAGTATTTTCTCTTTAAAGGAGTCTTGTTTTTTATTTCTGTGTTTGAGTTTTTTAGCTTCTCTAATTTTCACCTTTTCAGCTGCCTGAAGTACTTCATTCTTTGTCTCTTGGAAGATTTTTTTCTCTTTTTCTTCATCATATTTTTGAACAGCACTGGGTGTGATAATAACATACAACCCATCAATTACAGCAGTGACTGGAGATGAATAAATATTTTTCCATGGAATCTTCAGAATGAGTTCACTTAAATATCCAAAAGCAATTTTTAATGGAAGATCTAAATCTTCCAGTGCATTTTGCTTAATGTCAATGTTCTTCAGAATGATATTTCCTCCCCATACTGCAAGTTTTAATTTTGAACGATCCACATTTTCAACATAGTCTCCAAGAAACTTATTTAGTAAGTCTGCTACAATGCTTTCAAACATTTTGTTTTCTGTTTGGGTTAGTAGTACCACATTATCAGTAATTCTTAGCTACAAAAGCCTTATCACATTTAGCAAAGAAAGCAAGACATTTGTTTTTTACTATTTTGAATTAATCCCATTTCCTCTCTCATTCCCAAGTAAAGTAGGCTTATTTGGACATAAAATCGTTTATGAAAATAACATTCAAAATTATTTGTTCTTTCCAATTTCAAGAATAGCTACTTTATTTAAGACAACTATTAATCAATATGTTTTGGTAAAGAAACATTTTGTTCCCATAATTTCAGATTACTAGTATTCCACGATTTTTTGTTTCTTTCTTAAAAGTTAAATATCACTTACATACTTTAACTTTTAAGTTAAAGTTGAAATATATCTGCACCTTTCAAATTAATGGCAATATTTCTGCACTAAAAATCAGATGTAAATGAATTTGAAGCCCAGTATATTTCAAGAATTACATTACTCGAGGTATTGCCTAAAATACTGACCGTCTCACTATAGTACTGTGATTGGTAGAGGTAGTTAACTTCAACATTCAATTTGTAAACATACTGAAAAAAATAACACGTAAGTTACAAACTACGCAGTACTAGGCCTAACTGGTGCTAATAAATAGTAATTGAGCGCCCTCTGTTTTATTACAATCAATTTGTTAGGCAATGTAGCAGTCGGAGATGGGCGTTAAATAATGATTGAATTACTCATGTTACTTGCAGTGGAAACTCAGGTCCATCAATATCATCAGTAGCGGATCTAGGATTTTGGAAAGGGAGAGGGGGAATGGTCACCTGGCTGGGCGCCATATAATTTCAGCATACATCATTTATATCGATGTAGCCAGATGATAGGTCAGAATTAAATATAATATTATAAACTATTGGCCTGTAGCTAGGAGAGGCAGGAAATAAAATATTTTATTAAAATTATTTATTGTTGAAAGCGGCGCACTTTAGAAAATAAGGGCGCAAAATCCTGAAAGGGTAGGGGAGCAGCCGCATCCTTCACGAATCCGCTAATGAATATCCTCATCTTTCATTACTATATCACACAAATTCAAAGTTACCTTTTGTTAACCTCTCAATATCCCTGTATCCTTCTTACTTCAGATCTTCAAATTAAATTAAACATTATTAATAAAATAACAGTCAATGGTGTAGGAAGGAGTTGCAAAGTGGAGTGCTTGGCTAGACATGCAGATTTTACAATGAGAGACTAAAAGTATAAGGAGACGCTAGAAGCATGCCCCCTCCCCAGAAAATTAATATAATAATATAATTTACGTTTGATATATAAGACATTTTTCTTATATTAAAAAAACAACAACACATTGCAGTAAGCTAGGACACATGGCCTTATCACAACTCTGTTGTAATTGATTGGAGAGCGATAATTATATTTTCTTATTTTCCATTTGTTAGTTACACTTAATAAAACACATCTTTAAGATAGAATGTAATTATATATGCAACAGTTTTTAACTTTTTACTAAACATTATAAAAGAAGAAAATACTACATATGTACTGAATGTGGTGAAATATGACAATGAGCGAATAGTGTTCTATGGCTAAAGATAGATATGTAACATCATATTTCCCTGTCATTGGATCTAAATATATATACTATGAAATTAGTATAACTTTAGCCATAATAATAATAACAAACATCAAGAAATAGTATAAGTTAATTATTATAACTTTGTGCTGTTGGTGACCATACTTGCAATGAAGGAAATGGCTTGGAGACTCGATTGTTTGTTTTAGGGCGAAACTACACAGTGGGCTGGCTATCTGTGTTGTACCTATCACGGGTATCAAAAACCAGTTTGTAGCGTTATAAGCCTACTAAATTACAGCTGAACCACTGGAAGTAGGGGAGCTCTAGTCCTCTTTTTGGTCATATACATTTGAAATTTGTACCAAAAAATATACTAGGAAAAGTCATACTTAAACAGCTTAATACTAATCTCTAATCTGAGCTAATCTGGAACAATGAGACATTAAGACAATAACAATAACAATAAGACATTATTTCTTGCTATTCGCCTAGTAGCCATTATAATATAAACAGTAGACGTTTATTAACTGTATTATATTTTTATAAGCTATAATTTTTAATGTTGTGATCTGTTTATTAGCTAGAGGAAGATGAGGTCGTAATTATGATATTAAGATCAGATAATCTAATACCTGGCAAATTCTCGGTTATTTGAAGTTAAATTTTCTTGTAAATTTAAGGGTAGATTATAAATACAGGGTCAGTGAAGCATCGATAAGATGGATAAGGGGATAAAGAGTTATCTTCTAGACTGCAGAGTAAGTCATTCAGAGTGTTTACGTTTTTGGATCTGCGTTAGCTTTCGAGTATTGAGTTACTTTGTACAAGTGGCATACAAATTACAACAGTGTTTAAGTTTTTAAAATGTTAAGGAAGAAATAACCTTATTTGATATCGATATGTGGACTGGAGTTTGAATTATTTTTACAAGATAACTTAAAAGAACCTGCCAATGAAAGAGGAATGCCACGACAGTATACTGATTTCGCCTGATTCACATAAATTATGAACACTTCAGTAACCCCAATTGGAAGATATTCATCCACCAACATCAGAATGGGTTTACCATTTTTATTACCTGATGTAATGTAGATTTTATTTGAACTCTAGTTATTTTTCTTAATAAGAAATCACATGATTACCAATATTCCAGTTCGGGACCATACTGAAATATATTCTCTACTAGCATTAAAACAACACGTGGGCTTGCAGTGTTTTGTATTTCAGTGTGATCTAAGTTGATCACTCTAGTTTCTCATCAAATATATCACAAGTCAATATTCCAAGTCATAATTTTTTTTCTGGCCTGAAAAGTTGTAATTTAAGATGTATTACATTCATGTCAGTAATTAAATGCTCATAAACTGCAGAAAACTTGGAAAGTAAGGGTTGCAATGCTCTTCTAACCAACCAACTATTTAACTGTATGATAATTAAGTGACTATTATGTGATGTACTGCATATACATATTTTTTGTGAAGCGAAACACCAGTTGCAAGTGCAGGACGGTGTGCTGTAGGATAATTATAAACCACTGAGTCATGGTTCTTTGACTATGTTGTAACTAGTGGCTCCTAGATGCCTGCAGCAAGAAATTCTTCAAACTTTGAACAACACAAAAACTCTATGGCACCAAGATACTACCCACACTTTTGCTAAACTTTTTATAGCTGCATTTGAGTTAAAATGTTCAGCAATGGTGTGAAATACTGTATGTTGTGTATGTCCTAGAGAAAGAGCTGGTTAAGGCAGAAGATTTCCCTGAATATTGCTTGACCAGTCTCAGGGACTGGAAAAGGTCATTATCATCAGCTATTTCATGAAGTGGAATGAGGCTTATTTATTGCTTAATATATTAACACTGTTCATATCTAATGTGTTAGCAGTGAAGTGGAGAGCATGGTTCAGAAAAACAGTGGAACTCCACACAGACCAGGGAGCTAATTTCAACAGCTAACTTTAGCTGAGTTGTGTAGAGTAAACGTATACTTAACCTTCCTCCCCATCTAATGGTTTGACAGAATGGGTAATACAGACTAGTAAGATGATGATATTTGCAAAGTTTATTAATCCCAATAGAATGGACTTGGATGAACATTCACTGTATGTAATAATGTGATTTAGAGCAATTGAACAAAGGTCTATGAACTGTTTGCCAAACATACTCTTGTTTGATAAACATGATAAGACGTCCTTCAATGTCAACAGTAATATGTGAGTGGTTAAGATCTATGATGATCGATGCGATGTTTACCAGACACCAACTAAGGACTGCTGTTAAAAGACAGAAGTAGTATTATGACTGGCTTCACTAGTCCATATCTGATACTTGTACAAGCTGGTTCATTGACATATGAGATACAGTAGCATGAGGTACGCGAAAGTTTGTGGATGAAATCAGTAAGCTGTGCCCATATGTCACAGACAAGCCTTTGGTGCATAGACATGAAAAGGAGTCTAAAGATACCTATTTATCAGAAACCTATATCTGTTCTTATGCCACCAAACTAGGAATTGTCATACGGAAACACACAAAAAAATGTCTGAATATTACACTTATCTTTATAGAATTCTGAAGATATGTATAGAATAAGAGGGCTTAAAATGTGTTGTTACTAATGAAATATATAGCAGTGGAAAGAGAATTTAACTCAACTATTGTAGATAGAGCAGTTAAGAAATTCACTAATATGGCAATAATCGATCAAGTTATTACCTAAAACCAAGTTATGATACATTTTAAAAGAAATGTTTAGTGTTGCCATGTGTTCCAGGCTTAACTTCTGGTTTATTCAAAGTGTTTAAAAAACAGCAAATATTTTTAAACCAATGAACACGATAAAACAAATTTTAGGTAATACTAAAGATAATATACAGTTAATGGAAAAAGCTGGAATATGTAAAATTTAATGTGAATGTAAAAGTGCTTATATTGGACAGACAGAACGTAATTTATAATATCGTTTAGGAGAACGTAAGGGATATGTAAAAAAATGAAATGCCTGAAAATTCGGCAATAGCAGAACATATACAAAAAACACAATATAATATATTATGGAAAAACAGTAATATTGGTTCAACCAAAGAATATTAGAGCCAATAATATTCGCAGATCCTTAGAAATAAAGTTTTAAAAAAATCCTGAATTATTAAATAGAGACGAAGGTCCAGCGAATGTGGAGGGAACTCCTCTGAAACTTATACAGCAATGTAAGCTTACAAGCAGGCTACATAATCTAGCTAAGAAGAAAAAAATATGACACTTATGGTAAACGTCGAAACATGCAGAGCCCACATTGCAGAAATGGTTTTAATTGTGTGTCGATTTTAACGTTGTGTGTTGTTTATTTATTATTTTATCAAGAGTCTGAAGATGAGATCAATGAGTCAGAGGAGGATGAGGATACTCTCTTGACCCATACCAATTCATGGATAAGGGAGAAAGAGTTGAAGAGACATATCTATCTGACAGTTCATGATGAACCAGATGAGGAGCTACTAGAAATAGAAGTGACAGATAGATCCGACTTACTGATCAGTGACTAAAACGATGTGTTTATGCACTGTATTGTGTGATTTCCACTTTGTTATAAAAGATAGGACAGTCGTTTGAGAAATCATTGATTGAATAGGTTTTACAGCCCTTGCTTTTAGATCTGTCGGGGGATTTGTAAAATACGATGTATGTACTACATTGTATGTTTACCAACCAATCCACGATAATGAGGACAGACAAGATGGCAACAACTGAAATGGCTTTGCTATTCTTACTTCCTGAGCTATTGGATGACATTTCTGATGAAATGCATGAATCACATTTTGTTTTCCCCATTCGATTATCACCAATTAGAATGATCTGTTGATCATAAGATTAACCCAATGTGCACAGGTGGAGTTCAAAGTATACATACCATGATCTTTTACAGAGTGTTATTCAACATGGTATTATCTATTTAATATCAGAGTTAACAACTATTCAATTTACTCTACATTGTTTGTGGTAGAAAAGAGTAAATATCAGATATAGTA